TAGATTGCATGTAAATGTACACACCAAGGTGTCACCGCGTGTAAGCAGAAGAAGAAGCACTACAAAACAATAACGACATCTCCATAACGCCCTCAGAATCCTTTGAAAATATTGAAGCCTTACAAGCGACAAGCAAACAAACCTGGGCCACTGTTGACTTTTATACGTATCTTTGATGCTTCGGGTTGAAATTAGTTCGTCTTCTTGTAACTTTTGAACCTGTTGTTGGCGCTATGTTAATTCATGGGGTCTAAAGAATTTTAGTTCGAAATAACTGGGATATGATAATTGGTTACGTTTGTATTATACCAAGCACAGCCAATAATTATAACCTAAGCTAACGTAACCCAACCTAAGGGTGGACTATGTTTTAGGTTAGGTAAATTTGTTTATTTAAACTAATTAAAATCTTATTTGGAAGTCGATTTATCGGTGTGGTCGGTATAATACTAAAGTAAATCTATTATCTTTCCCTGTTGGATTTATTTTGAACCAAAACTCAAAGTGGATGATGAACTGTCGAAAGCTACTTGACGAGTATTCATCTCAAACAGTTTTTAGTATTAATGATCTGTGTTCTTCCCTTACAACCGAGACCAACCATGTTAACCAACGAGACATTGACAGATTAGTTGGTGACAGGTCACTTGTCTTGTTACTATAGAGACACTCTCGTGTCACCTTCTCAACACTCAGAAATAGGTCGAAAGTGGTTTTTACCAGAGATATAAACAAATATTACATACTTAAAGATGTTTTTGAACCGGTACTGATGGTAGTTAAAAACATACTAAAAATACAAAAATATATGTGTGTAATATTGCCGTTTCGTGAATTTCAAGTGCGAAAACCCAGAGAAACCGTAGGTTCTTATATATCTTCTATGTTATTAATAGAAGAAGTTTTCAACAGTACCCTCTCTACAACAGTCCAGTTAAACATAAAAAGAAATTCGTAAACGATATAGAATTAATTTTTGTCGTAAATTACAAATTCTAACTTTCACTGCGGATTCCCAACGACTCTGGACTCTGTAATATTGTTGTGGGAAATAAAAAAAAAATCTGAATATTAGGCTACAATAGATTATACGAAAAACTATTTTATGCAGTTGGCCATTCTATCCAAACATTAACAAATATTTTGAAAAAATCGGATTTTGTCTATTATTCCCTAACTGTGAGGGTATGGAAACCTATTGATGCCACCTGTCACAAAATGCTTCCTAGTAGTTTTAACACATTGTTTTTAACACTAACTTCGTCCCACCCTGTACAATTTCACCTCTCCTGCACAGCTGCTTCTCCCTTACATAATCTGTTATCAGAGAGGGGTACTTATGCAGGGGGAGGGGGTCAGCGCGGTTTACAGATCGGCTCAACGTTCATCAACAATCATTTCATTTTGATATCGGGGCTGCGAGTCTACCGCTCCTTTCAACCCGGATCCCTTTTGTTCTTTGATGGAACAGTTTGTAAATATCCTAGTGAGGATTATCCTTTGTTTCCCGTCCGGCTGTGATCGCTGATCAGCTCTTTATTGCGGCTCCTTGGTGAAAAATATCTTCTCTCGCCACTCCCAGAAAGTCAATAAAGTTTATGGATTCTTGCTTTATATATATTTTAATAATAATAATATTATTTTAATTTATTGGTGCGTTTTTGTAGTACACTGTAGTTAGTTGATCGTGTTGGATTTTACATTTACAATGTGATAGGCTCAGTCGTCTGATGTGTGTTACTTTTGAGTAGAGCTTCTATCACACTTGTATGAAAACCAAGATGGGGCTTAACTATTCAATTACCTAAGTACTTCTTGATGTTATTTAGTGGTTAAGAACAAAAGCCTTTTATACAACTAAAGACTAACTTACATGAATTCTGACTCAAAAATTGTGAGATTTGGAAAATTTACTGCCCACACCTATTGTATTTTTAAATTTAAGGATGAATACTGACTACATTTAGGATTTTCCACAAAAGTACGATAGCGATACATATTTGTTTATTTGTATATTACCATTTCATCCAGGGAAAGTATGAATTAAAAGTGTGTACATTAATTTAGGGCTTCCAAACACAAAACTCAACTATTACCAAATACCGTAGATATACAACAATTAATTTGTGTTGCAGTTTATAATAGAAACCAAAGCCAGAATCGCTCATCGCAATGATAGTTAATAATTGTCACTATCATTCTTTTTTGTTACACTAAATGTTCGTATTTAGGGAGTGACTGTGCGTGTCTTATTTATTATTTATTATCAATTGACGAGATTCATGAAGCAATAAGACATCTTGACTGGCTAGAGGATAGCTCCTAATTTAGCTGAAGACAATAATTTTTACTAATTGACACAGAACACAAGCTGACTTGTACAAATTCCCATTGTTATTGTAAATTTTAAAGCTCGTGTTTCGTGTCTAGTTCATGTCCAGTGACACTGATCGCTAGTGTCGACGAAATTTTGTTTCTATTATTTTAGTGTTATTTTCATGACTTGTGCTTAATGTTTACTTACTTACTTGCATACTTGAAGGTATCCCACTTGTATCATTTCAGCCGTGGTCGTCATTTTGGTTTATATAGAGTAGTAGGCCTATATAATATCTTCATCACTCAGGTATTCATCAATAGAGTAATAGGCCTTTTCCATTAAATAATTCTTCAATTTTTTCTTGAATTCGGTTACTCCTGATTGGATCAAAGTTGTTCTATGGCTTTTAAGGTGCACGTTGTGTTTGCCTCTTGTGTTGTAACTATGAACTTCTTCGTTCCTCTTAAATATTTCAGGAAATTTCAAAACCAGCAAGGAAGATTCCAGAATTACGACAGATGAAAGAGTCAATATTTTTAGATCTTGGAATAAAGGCTTACAATGCTCCAGGTAATGAACCTTGCATATAATTCTTATAATTCTTTTTTGTAACAGAAAAACTCTGTTGGCCTCACTACATCCTCCCCAAAATGCAACTCCATAACTTAAAATGCTATGGAAACACCCATAGTAAATCTTCATCAGAACATCTAATTCGACCACATTTCTCAGTCTACGAGCCAGGCAGCAGACCACGGTCAGTCTCTCTATTACATTGTCAATATGGTCATTCCATCTCAGATTATCGCAAATGTTAATGCCGAGATATTTAAAACTATTTTGAGGTTTGATATTAACTTGGTTCATTTTAATCAAAGGGCTGTAGTCTGGTTTTTTCCTGTTATAAAAATGTAGAAATCCAGTTTTTCCTTGATTTAATACCAACTTATTATTATGGCACCAATTAGCCACGCTATTTACACCGGACTGAGTCTTCTTAATTGATTCATATGTATTTGAGTCGGACACCATATGACAGACGTCATCAGCATAAAGCCATACCTCACCCTCGGCCTCACCCTGCTGCACAACTTCTGGTAGATCATTAACAAATAGTAAGAAAATAACAGGACCCAAGTTAGAACCCTGCGAAACGCCGGTATTCACATCATGTTGTATCTCTGACTTGTATCCTCTTATTACATGATCCTCACCAAGGTGTTTGACTACTACCACTTGTGACCTGTCCCTTAGAAATGACATGATCCAATCTAATGGTTGGTTCTTAATACCAAACTTTGACAATTTATTTTTTAGTAGGCTATGATTAATGCAATCAAATGCTTTAATTTTTGTTTTGTTAATTAGGAGGAGTTATTCTTTGTGATTAGATCGTTTATTTGGTTAAACGAGATTTTAAATTACTAAAATAGCAGGAAACAATTTATAAACAAAACATTACCTCTACAGTGTACCGGACATAACAAACAATAAAACTGTCTTTAACTTATCTATAAGGATGAGAAATCTACTAAGGGAGTATGTTTTAGCTATGATAAAAGTGATCACAAGAATATTTGTTACACATAACATTATATATTGATTTAATAGAAGAGTAGTTGACGGCTACATAGCGGATACTTTTTAGCCTGCTAAAGTGAGTGCCAAAAAGAGCTTTTTTTTACATTACGTTCCTTGGGTGTTATCTTCTCTTCTTCTTTCTTGTGTCGTCGTCGTCGTACCAGTGTTGCCACTTTTAGGGTAATTACCCTTTTTTAGGGTAATTTACTGGTCTTAGGGTAAAGTTTAGGGTAATGTTAGATTTAGGGTAATTTTAGGGTAAAACTAAAAGTTAGCATAACAATGGAAATTTCACTAAAAAATGAAAAAAAAACTTCAAAATTTGGCAAAAACCTTTCATTACATACTATGGCCAAACCATCATATTCTATTCAACCGGTTTAAATCGATTGCTATGATGAATTTTTCATAATAAGTCTAATAAGTAAGCTTATCAATAGTTGGGAATTATCGCTGTTTTAGACTGTATTCGATTCTATAACACGTTATAGGCCTAATAAAATATGAAATACTATTCATTACTGGGTTTGATATTTAATTATGTGACTGAATTGAATTGAACTGGATTATTTTACAAATTGTGTCAAGAAATTACTATGTATAGATTAAAGCTTTGGTGGTACCGTACTGTATTTTAAAGATAATATGATTGTCCAAAAACAGTATTAATGGGTCAATACAGTAAAAAATACGATAGTTCTTGATTCGATATTTTTCGTTATACGATAGTCGATAGAGCTGATCAATATATCAACATTTTGTTCTTCTTTCGGGTGGTTTTTTAGAATCGAGTATAATTTTACATAAATTGATTGATATTGGAACTTAATTTAGTATAATTAACCACCTTATGTAGGATTTATATGATTTTAACAATGTTTTATAGCATTAAACGCAAATATTAACATTTAGGGTAATTTTTAGGGTAACTCAAAGTAGATTTAGGGTAATTTAGGGTAATTTCAGCCCGCCTTTAGGGTAAAATCGCAACAACGTGGTGGCAACACTGCGTCGTACACAAACACAAGTGTCAGAGTGTCAAACTGTGGAGTTGAGTTTGTGTTTTGTTCCTGTTTGTGCTGATTCTGTTAAAAAAAATTACAAAATCACTGAAAGTCTAATGTAATTGATAAAAGTACTCAAGTTGGACAGTATGAATGTTATTAACTGAAGTTGGTTAAGATCGTTGCTTCATAAATTCACCATTGCGTAAAGCTTTCATTGATTATCACAGAAGTTCATTGATTCTTGTTGAAGACTTGGACTAGCAGCACTCTAGCCTAAATTAACGGATTAAGTAAGTTACAGGTCATAATCATAAGGCCTGTGTAAGCTAGGCTACCATGGTTTTGCAAGTTAAGTTAAAATTCAAGGAAATCTCAGCTAATGTCTTGCAAAAATTGGGTGTGTTGTTTGTAGCGATGAGCATCGAAAGGTTGACCATCCCTTGATGTAAGGTTACCTGTGATGGTAACATCGATGTTAAACATCGTTGTGTAAACATCAATGTTTTTGGGGCTATTTTTTAGTTTTTCGTGTCTGCTCTCTGTACCGGTACTGCCTCAGCTAAGATTAGCATAGGGTAGGCGTCCTACTCAACTAGCATTGATTAAACACACTACCTTGTGTTTGTTAGTCTATGCTGCTAGCTATACATTCTAGATTGGCAGTTTGTCTTTCATATGGGGCTGGTTCCCCTTCAGATCAACCACCAGTGGCAGAACTTCAGGCTCCCGTTGTGCAGTGAAGTCCGCCACAACTAAGACGATCTGGAAGGACTGTGAGGAAGCCTGCGCGGCTTGATTTGTAGGCCTTAGCAGAAGCAAGGCGCTGAAAATTTTTTAGTTTATTTTTAAAAAGTTCTATGTGAGGTTTGACGTACTAATAATTAGGTTAAGCCAAGTTATGTAGACTACTGTTGAGTTTTGGCCTGCTAAGTTATTAATTTTAATTTGGTCAAGTGAAGAATCACCAATTTTTAGTTGTGGCGAGTGTGGTAGGCCTATATTTTAAAGTTATACACTAGTAGCAGCCATTCGTTTACAGAGGAAATTCAATGGTACTCTTAAGTGGTGTCTAGCACTAGTCGTTGGTGTACGGTAAAGTCCAACACCGCCCGCCTCATGTAAGTTACTACAACACTCACGGTGGAAAGAGATCCTGTGCCCAGTGTGATGGGATTTTTTCACAGCGCTTGCCGCTCCTCAGGCTCTTCCTTGTTGGTCACAAGTATATTTTTTGTAGAATAAGTTATTTTTTTGCAGATCTTTTTCGACTTTGGAACAGCAGATTCTTGTACTCTTGCGATGTGCCCCTATTACAGACTTTGATCTCTCAGGAGGTTTATTCTTGAGAACAGATCCTCTGGCTTGAAACACTCACCTATAAAATAGTACTCCTACAGGGAACTGCACCATAACGACATACATTGAAATTATTTCTAAGAGAACCGCTGTCAGATGGGTAACAATCACATAGTGGTTTTTAAATATTTTTTACAATAGGCTCCGACACAAAAGGCATGGGTCCAAAGATTCATGGGTAATTCTGAGCAATTACTTGCTCAACCCCAAATTTTTCATATTTTACTACGGTCATATGGATGTTCTCAGAAAACAAGAACCATATAATTGAAGCCTCGCAAGGTTAGGTTATGAATGTTATTAACTTAACCTAACCGAACCTAACCTAACATAACGGTACTGTCACAACTGGCCTTCGGTGAGTCCCCGGCAAGCCACTGTTATCAGACTTTGGGCTTTGAACCTTCTTATCGCTCGGTAACCTGTACGATGGCCTTGCAGGGCTTGAATTATATGTTTCTTGTTTTCTGAGAAAATCCTAATGACTGTAGTAAAATATGAAAAAGTTTGGGGTTGACCAAGTAATTGCTCAGAATTACCGATTCATGATTAATATTTGGCATAATTATGGGTTGTTGTTTATTGCAACAATAAAAGCTGAGCTGTGCTATCCATCAAAACAGCTGCGCAACAGCTGTTTGAAAACGATTAGTTTTTTATGGACCACCAGTTATATATAGGTACATAACATTTTTCATATACGTAAACTTCCCTTTAAAATATAAAGTTGACAATCCTCCATTAAGCCTTGAATAACAATATTGTAGGCCCTACATATATATATTGATAATGCAGTGTTTAAGCTTAGGACCATTCTATTTAGGCTGTCTTGTAAAGAATTGTGAGCGTTTTATATAAAAGGGTAAGAATATACTTAGGTTTTAACTTTCATCTCTGTTTCCATAAAACCTACAATATTTTTTATATGAAACACTCCTATACTTAAGCATTGACCAGACTAATTTTACCATTATTACAACTAAACTAGGCTATACTATTTTGTTGCAGAATTTACCATGGACCTGATCAGTACTCATTGCAACGGCGGTCGTAAGAATACGCAACAACAAGGGTTCACTTAGTGAAAACTTACTATCGATAGTCACACTATCGATAGTTTTCGATAGTTTTTTAAAAACTATCGATACTATCGATAGTACTATCGATAGTCACTCAAATGGAATTTTAATGCATATAATATTGTATATATCCTGCCTGCATGAGTTTAAACAATGGTTTCTACCTAGTCGAAGATAAAGCTGTATCAGATTATTAATTTTAACAATTTATGAGTGACGCCCTGGAGCCCCCTTTATGTTTTTTTTTCCAAAATATTACAACATTTGTATAAAATAACAATAAGTTTTTTTTTAAGGGTTACAACAATAAAAAAAGAAAAATTCTCTTACTATTTTCTTTTTATTATTCACTACAAAAATATTTTTTTACTCACATAGCATAAATAATATATATATATATATATATTTTATGACAATCTAAAACCATAGATCAAAGGAAAATACCGTATACCGGTGTCTACTATGTATGCTAAAACCCACGAGGCAAATGTACCCATAAGTCCGGTAGTGAATTAGCAAATGCCCCCGCTTTCAAATGTTTGAGAAGGTAGCCTACTTGTCTACCGAGCTTTTCTACAATGAATTAAAAAAAAATAGTCTATAATATCAACTATAGGTATGCATTAACAGACAAACAATGAAATGTAAGAGTACCAGATAATGATTTCTTTACTTAATTTAACGTAAAAAAAACTATCGATAGTCTCATCGATAGTATAATACTATCGACCCACTATCGATATTTTCAAACTATCGATACTATCGATAGTACTATCGATAGTAAGTTTTCACTAGGTTCACTACGTATTCTGCTACACATTGAAGCAAAGAAGGCAGCTTTAATGTGCCTCTATGTTTCGATTGCTTCAGAATAGGTTGGTGAACAGGCATATGCCAATTGTAAATAAAGCTAAGTGTTTGCCTGTGCAAACAATTGTGTGAGATTTCAGTCAGAAAAGTCAAAATTTAGCATTGTCTAAACATAGGCTGTGTTGTGGCATTGTCTAAACAGGCTAGCTAGCAGTTTCGTGACTGCTCTCGTACTCAATATTGCAAGCAGGCTATGGAATCGAGCCTAACACTTAACACTTTGACGATGCCTGGTCCGCTGGCTTCATATCAAGGCTGTAAAACAAGGCAAAACTGACTATGTTAGCTATGCTCAACCTCATTTTACGGGAAAAAAATTGTGATATTGTAGTTATTTTTTATTAAATCTTTCTAACGAGGTGTCATGTAAGCGTACAACTTGTTTGCGAGCCGGGTGCGCGGGGGGAGAGCGGTACCAATCTCCCACCACGCAGCCAAAGTTTCTGCAGCATTGGTCAGACTACGCTTTCTAAAAACATTCGACTAGCGCTGTTCGCGTTGTTTTTCTTTTTTGCGTACATTTTTTTAGAATTTAAATTTGAATTTGATAAATACTAAGGGTTCTATATTATTGTTTTGTTACTGTAGTAGAGTATTTTATTTTGATATAACTATTTTTTTACTTATTTACATGTACACCAAACTGTAAAATCATATTAAGCCTATATTCCAATTTAATCGTAAAGTTTGACTTTTTAGGTGTAAATTTTTAACGTTTAAAGGCGATATCTTAAGATATAAATATAGATGTATGTAAAAACACATACCGGTACAGATATATCTATAAACAGAAAACCATAAGGCTTAGTACATAAAATTATGGAAACTTTTGCTTATTTTCATATTAAGTTATGTACAATAAATAACACCTTAAAATATCGGACGGGTTTTCCGAACACCCTTTAAAACGGTTAATGACTTGCAGTTATTTATTTTATATCCCTAAGTTGATAAAACGAAAGTCGGTCTCTTAATGTCGTACGTAAAGTATTTTATGACACTATTTTATGACCGGAAGAGTATTGTATTCTATCATGTTCTATCGACTGTCAGTTTATTGGACTGTGCTGTTTAGATGAGTAGTGCGGTTGAGTAATTATTGAGAGATTGTTAAGCCGTGGGTTAAAAAAGTGTCAGGCTAGGCTAACATAGATTAATATTATGGCAACCACCCGTAAAAAAGGGCAAACCATTCACAGAGAAGCGATGGAAATATTAAAGACCAACAGGTGCCATGTGTTGGTGTTACGCATCCGCTGGGAGTAGAAGCAGTAGGCCTATAGACAACATTTTTAGGGCGACTAGTAGCGGATCGCCAAGAGCCGAGCAGTGGTGGGGGCCCCTCCTGGCTAAGGAGGCGGTGGAGGGGCCACGCGCAAACAAGTCGTGCGCTTACAGTAGATAGTGCACTTTATAGGCTAAATAAAAGTGTTCTTGACATTTTTTCATCAAATCAACCATTTCGAGTAGGCCTAATTTATTTTAAAAATGTAAAATGGCTGCCATTTTGACATTCTGAATTGGATCAATAAATTATTTTTTTTAATTCTGGTTGCTGCAGCATGAGAATGTATGCCTGTTCGGGTGTGTTTTGTTTTGCTTCTTTGAAAATGTCCTACAATTACGGTTTGTTACCGGTGAGTAGAATACGCAGATTATTGATTTGCAATCAATGTCAATCGTGTTGGCATCTGGTGGACCACATGTTCGAGCAGAACATTTTGTGTCTAACTACCAGTTGGAGTTTTTTTGCAGCTTCCTGAAAGGAGTAGCAAAGCAGGGGGGGGGGGATCAACCGCCAGAGTGTCCTCTTAGGACTTTGGTATCTGGTCTCTAACGTGGACATTACTAATGTAGTACTTTCAGATAATGTTGTTAGATATCAGTGCGATTGTTGGTGAATCTTTTTCCAATGCATTTATTCTTGCCGAAGTCCCTTGGGAAGGTATTTATAAATCAAAGTTTTGGTTAATCTAATTCACCCTATAAATGAGCTGATTGAATAACTTGAATCGACGTTTCAAGTTAAACTTAATGATGAAATTAATTAATTTTTGAGTTCTTCAACTCACTAGTGGGTTTTGGCTTCAGAGAAACCTCGATCCTCTGCAACTTCTCGTTATTCAGGGGAGTAGCCATACTAGTGACGAGAGAGAGTGTTGCAGGTATAGTCCAACAAATGTTAAGAGCCGAATGATGAAGTACAAAGTCCTGCATGTAGGAAGCAAGGTAGGAATGGATGGGAGGGGTGAACCTGTTGTATCCGTTAAAGTAAAAGGAAAACCATCCGTCCAACCAACTGCTTGCTAATGCTAATTTATTTCAGAGTACTGGTGAAGGCTGTTAAACAATGATTTTTATCCAGCTTCTCCAATCCGCTTGGCATTGATTTATTTACTGACATTTGCGATGGATGAGCATCGGTTTATTTTTAGTATGTTTTATTTTCAACAAAAAAGTGCTTGTTCCATATGAACGTGTTATTGTACTTTAATATCAGGTAAAATGATGAGCATTGGTTTATTTAGTATGTTTTATTTTCAACAAAAAAGTGCTTGTTACATATGAACGTGTTATTGTACTTTTATATCAGGTAAAATGAATGAGGATTGATTGTTCATTCAGTTATTGTCTGAAACCTTTTTGTTTTAGAAAAAAAGAACCAAAAGTACTGCTAAGGGAATTACTACAAGCCGAAGGGTTTTTGCCTGAAGAGGAGAAGCTCTATGTGACCGAGCAAGAGGTCATTGAAATTTCTTCTTCATCTCCATCGTCTTCGTCAGAGAAATGCAAAAATTAATAATTAATGATAGAAGGATGAATTTATGATCCTGGCCTGGTACTGATCAGATTGGTATTTCTTAATGTAGTTTAAGCTTAGTTTTAAACATTATCAGCAGGATGTAACTACTGTATTTTACTTGCATTACTAATTACTCTTTGAAAGATTTAATTGCAATTATTTTTATCATAGGCCTAATGAATATTGACAAAATTCCTTTCTATGTACATGGTGCTACAAAAAAGTGTTGATATGTTGTTTAAGACTCCCAAACCAATCCGGATAAGGAGAATGAAAAAATGTACAAAGTATTTCTTTGTTAGATGATTATGGTTTAATTAGATAATTATAAAACGTAATGATACCGGAGAGCAATACCGTTAGAAGAATAAACTAAGAATTTTCGTTCAGAAATCTTTGTGTCACTATTTCCTCTACTACCATCTCTCCCCACCTATTTGAACGCTTTGAAAGCGAGACTCGAGATTGAATTTGTGCTTTCTGCTCTGAACACACTATGACCATACTAAAGGAGGAAGACAGTTCAAATGCATCTAAAAAAATTAAATTTCTCATCCGTCCACAATCAGACTTTAATTTTAAGTCCAAGCCATTATATTCTGACAAATAAATGAAACATTGTATGAATAGTAATTTTTTACAACAGGGGGATTGAAAAGGTAGCAAAAACAATGCAATGGATTTAATCTCATGAACAATCTTCACACTGATAAACAGATCATTAATGTTGATTAATCACTATTGTTAAAATGAAGTTAATATTTAGTTTACTTCTTTATAAGTGTTCACTGTTAGTTTACCTGTTGTGTGTTCAGACTGTGGTTACTGGTGCTGTTCAGCCTGCTCAAGTGCATAGAGGAGTATACACCTTTGATGAACTGGTAACAAAAGGGATATTTGTAGACAAAACAATGATGATAAAAGAATTTCTTGAGAGCAAATGCAGAGTGACAATCATAACTAGACCTCGCAAGTGGGGGAAGACCGTCAACATGGATATGATACAAAGGTTTTTTGAAGTAGAAACCAACAATATTGGTGTACAAACAAAAATAATGGATCGGAAATATCATAAGTTATTCCAAGGCGGGGAAGTTACGCTTCCAAAACATTCTACGAAAGTGCTAACGGAAATTACAGAGTTGAAACCATTAAAAATCGCTAATGACTCGAAGACAATGAAACGTCTAGGTATGATTCCTGTGTTAAGGTTTAACTTGTCAAGTATTTTTGGTGCAAATTACCAAAAAATTGAAGATAAGTTGAAACAAGAAATGAAAAATCTGTATGCACAACATCGATACTTGAGAGTTTACTTCACCAATGAAAACCGTATGTTGAATGCTACTGATAAAAAACGCCTTGCAAGGTATTACGAAAACAATCAACTTGATACAACTAGTTTGATCGAAGGGTTGTACTTTCTGAGCAGACTTCTGTTTGAGCATTATAGACGGAAAATTATTGTGTTAGTGGAGGAATTTGACGCCCCTTTTAACCATGCGGAAGAAAGCTTTCTGAAGGAGGAAAAAATTAAAGTAAAATCTTTGCTCGTAGATATGTTTAAGGAGTTGCCTGAGAATTGGTACATGAAAAGGACTTTGATTACAGGGACACTACCATGGGTGGGAAGTGTTTTGTTTCCCAACAGTAGTATGTGTGTTAGATCAATCCATGATGTAGAATATTCTGATTATTTTGGCTTCACTGATTCAGAAGTTGATGATGTTCTCCACAACTTTGATATTCCAACAGATAAAAATTCAACAGGGAAAATGAGGTATTGGTACCGAGAGTTTACATATGGAGGTAAAAAGTTGTATAACCCGTTGGACATTATGGGCTTTGCATCAAATCAAGGCCGAATGTTGGATTACTGGGTGGACAGCGGAAGAATCAAGTCCTTAGAAAAGTTTTTAGTTAGTGATAGAGCTCAAGATGACCTTTTAAAATTATTAGAAGACCAAGGAATTAATAAAACAACATTTGCGTTCAATAGACATAATGAACACAATGACTCAATATTTTACAATCTTTTATTCCATAATGGATACTTAAACTGCTTCAATAACAATATGAACCATTACGTTTTAAAAATACCAAACCAGCCAATCAGAAACTACTTGGTAGACTTTAAAACGCATTGGGTCTGCGAGAAATACGATATTTGGATCAACGACTTATACGATTTTGTTGGATGTTTGATAACCAGCCAGTTAAAACTTCTTAAAGAAAATCTTGACAGTGTGTTTGACAGTTTTAAAAACTCTACCTTACGGAATGAGGAAGAATATCACACGATAATGGGAAATGTCCTAAGCCGCTTACTAAACCATAATTTCATCTTTTCAAACAAAGATTATAAGTTTAACAATTTGTTCCATTTGATTATTCCGAGAAGTGAGTACCAGGGTCACACTGCGTTTGTATTGGAGTATGCAGTGCTCGGAGAGCCCAATCCTAAGATGGAAATGTTCCGTCAACTCCTGGGACTAGCGCAGTACACACTGGAGAGGATAGACAGCAATCTTTACGGACCCGAGATTGTGAAATACAAGTACGTAGACCAGGTTGTGACTATCGCTATTGCATTTTATAAAGCTCAGTTGGAAATATCGTGTAAAGTCTTTAAACAGGAGCCAGAAAACTGATTTTATACGAGCTATTAGATTTATGTGCATTATTGAATAGCATCCACTGTATTGTGATTTTAGGGTAATCTTTGTGATAAATGTTTGTACATATTAATTATATTTATTTGAGTGAAATTAGTCATAGATATTCAGTGGAACCTTCATAACATAAGAGGTCGTCCTTAAAATTTGTGTAATTTTTAAAATTTACTAACATTTATTTTACTTAAATAACAAGTCTCATTTAATAATACCCATGAGAGTCTTAATTGCTATTGAGGTTCTAAAATGTATATCATATTTAGTTTATTCATTCTTTGAATTCAATGAATAATATACCAAATTCTTCCATATAAAAGGAGCTAAAAACTAATTGATTTATGGTTATTGTAATCACATTTACAGTAACCTTGTTCTTGCCTCAGTTATTATGGGTTACAAGTTTGTGTACCCTATGTATTTTGCCACTGTGTGTGGCACCTTCAGCTTACAGTATATGGAAGAAAGACTTCCTAACGTGACTCTGCCTTGAGTGCGTCATTGCATTGTCTGACCGAACCGCAATACTATAGTGACATATGTGTCCCGACTAAAATAGTGAGTCAGAAGAAGACCCTCTGAAGATGTCAAACAAGGTGGCGAAATGCATAGGGTGACACAAACATCTTACCTACAAGAACTCAAGGCAACTAACTAAATCTAATATAATTCAAGTTTTCGATACTGAAATAACCAAAAATATTATAATAACATAACTTTGGAAACAACCCATTAATGGTCAAATTAAATTGGTTTTTGGCTTTAATAATAAACACATATATTGACATATTAACAAATAACATAATAATAAAATTGTCTTATTTTCTATTTATTTTTGCCAAAACTTTTTGTACCACCGTACACAAATCACTGTGAAAAGCAAAGTCATATAGTCATTCCTTGTGTTTGTGTAGAGAATCTTATCCCACTTAATCACAAGAAGTAATTGTGATAAACAAAACAACTTAGAAATATCCAATTCTCTTGAGTGTTGCATTTAATTTCCCTTGTAGTTAGAGCTGTATTGTTCCATGTAGAAGTGTTCATTGAGGCTTATTAGAACATTGCACATACTCGTTTAGCATTGGATGGGAATGGAACTTGACAAGTGCTGTAAAACTTCGCTATTTTGCAAAATGTCACAAGACTCAAGAGGTGAAATTATAGGGGGTTTACCAGTGAGTAGTGTCGCAAAATGTCACAAGACTCAAGAGGTGAAATTATAGGGGGTTTACCAGTGAGTAGTGGGGAGATTTTGGCACAAGTCAATTTTCATGGAGGCTTCAAGTGGGCTGTGTTGGCATAGGTTCAGAGTAGAAGATGTGGGGCAAGGGGTAAGTACGGTCTTTATGCCAACAGAAAGAGATGTGCAAAGACAAGGACCCATCTCATCTCCAAACCAGTTAACCAGTTTAAACTATAAAAACAACAGCAGTCTACATCCATTTACAGTAAAATTATCCCTCATATCAAATTGAAACAATTTATACTACTAAAGTGTATAAAATATTTTAACCAGCCAAGTCTAGATAAAACATAGACCCCCTTATGGACCAGCTGAATAGCTGATGAGGATGAAGCTAATTTACTGTTAGTTCTGTCCGTGCACTGTAGAGGTAGTTTTTTGTTAATTGTCATTCCAGTCATTTAAAAACCTCGTTTGAAGCAAAATCAAATTACATAATCATAAACAATAACTCGTACCCTAGTTGTATAACCAAACAGTAAAGCATAAACCATTAAATTAACCCTAAAATAATATAAATAAAATTTTGTTGACACTAACGCCCAGTGTCACCGGACATGAACTAGGCAAGAAAAACAAGCTTCAAAATTTACAAAGGGATGAGACTCTACTTGTGTTTGGTTAGTCTATGGTCTAACGTCTAACCAACCACGAGGGTGTACTTATCAACACGTTTTTGTTGTAAAATCTGAAGCCTTTTTTATGTCTCTAGTTCATGTTGATGACACTGCGGGCACTATTGCTAGTATCGACGAAGTTCGGTTTTTATTATTTTAGGGTTACTTTACTTTTATGGTTGTGTGCTTTACTGGATGTAGCCTACGTTATAATTAGGGGACGAGGAATTCCTTATGATTAGATGGTTTTATTTGAATAAACGAGGGCTTAAATAAAAAGAAACAAACACAATGTCAGCGGCACCGGACAGAACTAACAAATCGCCACCACGGCCTTCGAAGTGGCAACGTCGCAAGTAGGGTTGTAACAGCTGTTTTGTTAGGAAGGAGCTGTTTTGTTTGTGTATTTACGAAAGCTTGGCTACTAACTGGACTATGAAAATATAGACTCTGCTTTATACATTTTTAATTCAAATTGTTTTGGTTTTCAATTCCGTAAGTTTTATTTTCAATATTTTAATAAATTTATGTTCATAAATTTAAATTTAAATCAACAATTGTGAATTAATTAACTATGTCACCTGTCTGCCATGTTATCTTATAAACCCACTGTCTGACATCAAACAGCCCTACTTGCGACGTGGCCAATTCTACCAGGCCGCGGCCTGAGTTAAAGGCGGTCATGCTTCATATGATCCATAAGGATGTCAAATCTACTAAAGCGAGAAGGTTAATTCATAGGTGTGTTTGGTTAGTATATGATTATTTGATTAATCATAGATTTGCGTTGGTTAGTCTGTGGTATAATCTATGATTCTAGACAAAGTACTTTCA